CCCAGTGCACGTGCAAAATACAACAATAAGAGGTGTCAAATTTGTTCCCATTTCAGTAACTCGGTATTTACTGGGGCGATTTCGCTGAAACTTGGCATACTGGTAGGCACCCACCAGGCAATGCATTCCCATGTGTTGCGGTTAGGGTGCTACTGCACGTGCGCACGTGCAGGGGGCGTTTCCAGATCTCGAGAACGGCTGGGCAGATTGCGCTCAAATTTGGTACACGGTTGGGGACCAGTTAGTAGGGTGCCGTGCAAAAGCCATTTTGGACCCCGCTTGCACGTGCGCACGTGCAGAATGCCGCTTCCAGATCTCAGGAACGGCTGGGCCGATTGCGTTCAAATTTGGCACACCGCTAGCGATCGGTTAGAAGGGTGCTTTGCACAAGCCCGTTGGAAGTACCCTCTCGCCCTTCGGCACGTGCAGGGCTCACTATCTCGCTCGCTCGTTCTTCGCCCAAAAGGCGTTTTACGGTTTTAAGATTGGTATGACGGGTGCCTCCCTGGAGTCATTGCTAACCCAACTTATCTCGAGCAGGTGTTGTCTCGATTATTGTAATATGTCCACAAAAGTTAGAAGCAGCTGTCCGTAGTTCACGTATGGATTGAGTGCTTCTCAACATCCTGAAACTGCCAGAGACTGAACTGCTACAATGTAGCGTGAACGGCGGAACCAAAGCCAACCCGGTGTCATTGCCGGGTCTACTGTTACCCCGGCAGGTCGGTGTCCCAGGACTGGCGTGGCGAGTGTGCTTTAAACTGACCTGTGTTGGTGCCAGGCGCCAGCAGTTGTCCGCTCACCGCGTTAGCCGTCGTTCTAAGAGCTGACCGGGACCCTCGCGAGCCGTTACCCTGGTCGGTGGTCCACCAGCCGTTCCCCAGGGCTGGCCTGAACTCGGACCGATCGTTGTGACGGCCCCTCTGGCGCCCCTGCGGTGACTCCGGACCGTCCTCTGGCCCGGCTAACGGCGACGGCCACTCCAACTAGGGCCTGCGGGACGCGCCGGCCGGCGCCCAAAGGGACCGCGGCCGCCGGCGAGCGGGAAAAGTGGTCCACGTGACAGCTATTCTCGGCTGACCGCGAGTTTCTCACGCCCCGGAGATTCGTGCCGGAGCTGACCTCTGAATGAATGAGTGGCGGGCGAGATTTGGCACTGACGGCAGGCTGAGCCCCGGGACCGGCCACGTCTCCAGACTGAAATTATTTCCTTATTTTGGGCTGGCTTAGGCTGATGTAATACGCGGATGTGTAACACAGCTGTAAATTACAGTGAAGCTCCAGTACTATTATGCAAACTTCTTGGGACAATCTCGGCGTGGTGTAATTTTCATGGACGCTGGTCATATTATTTTGCTGTAATTGTGTTGTTCGTGAATCGTGATTCAGTTTTAAATGGGTAGCCTGCTTCATGAGGAAAACTGATGGATATGAAGTTGTATTGCGCACTTGTTTACAGATACAAACACCCGCCTGGGTGGGGCATTGATTTACGAATTCAGCAGCTACGTTATCTCAATTACATATTCATCCTCTATCCATCCTCTATTTCCAAACCTTACTTTTGCAACCCGCGATGCTCCACGGCTCCCCGAGCCTTCAGACATCCAAAGGCACCCCGCGCGCGTACCCACCCCGGCTGTCCGCGCTGGCGTGAGCTGTCATTTGGAGCTGATTGGCCTGCCGGCCGTCCCTCGACTGCTGTATGCCGGCCGTCACGGCACTGACCGATGGAGGCGAGTGCACAATGTGTGCGGGCGTGGGCGGGAGACTGAGGGCGGAACCACACCATGGAGGGACGGACTCCGGACGCTATGTGTGGTAAGGGGCCTGAGAGGGTGTGATAATGCTCGGATGGAGTGCCGTCCCGGGCTTTGATGGTATCACACCGTGCACAGCGTAACCGTATGTAGAGTAGTGCTAGCGTAACCCCTATCAGCGTAACCCCTATCAGTTTCTACGTTTGGTGCATCGTCAGTGATCAAATTACACTTTGCAGTGAAGTCACCAGTCACCAATGCGTTGTTCACTACAATTTAATGACTTATTGAATTGCTTACGAAGCGCATCAGGGAACTCAGGACATCGTTTCGTGAAACACGCATGTGTGGATGTTTTTACCGCAGGTCTCGTGTGTGTGTGTGTGTTTGGTTATGCTCGGCTCGTCTGTATCGGCCTCCCGCCCGACTCGGTATGTAATACGCGTTCGGCCGCCGCTGGTGTTCACACTGACTGCACTCGGTAATGCTATGTTGGTCAGCCCGACGGGCCGATAACGCAGGCCGACGTCGGCCAGAGGTCAGTCAGTCGGCGGCCGGCCGGGTCCGGCGCCGCCGCTGGCCCCCATTGTAACCCGGCCGCCGATCGTATTGGCTGTTTGTCGCCGAGTTTCTCATCCTGAGCCGGGTCGGCCGGTACGAGTGGAACTTGATGAAATTGAGAGCGCTCGCCACTAGCAGTTGGCCACAGCTGGGTGGACGGCGGTTGACCGCGGCGCGACGACGGCGTGATACCCGCCCGGCGCCGTCCGTCCGCCAGCGCAGTCGAAACCTGAGGTGGTAGACTGTCCCGCAATGCACCCGCGTAGTGCGGCGCAGCCTGCCGAAACTGAACGGCCGTCCATTCAGCCTACGATCTACATTCAGCGCAGAGACGTCGCAGAGACGTTACCGAGTCGCGCGGCGCATTTCTCGTCTCCGCTGGGGGTCTACTAATGGGCGCACTGCTGAACGGGCCGGATTTGTGCGGCTTTGCGAGCTTGGCGTAACGACTTAAATGATTTTGCAGGGAAATCTCTGGCTAGCAACAGAACTCGGCCTACCTCTATGATGAGATAAGTGACCGACCGCTGGCTAGCTGTTTGGGCTGTTGCCATCTTGCTGCACTAAGACACGAGTGGTTCTATTTTCCGCTGTCTGTTCTCTGTAAGGTCGCCCGGATGGTGTCCTTTATCAACTGCCTGACGCAGTCGGAGCGTCCAAACACACTCCGTTATCACAGAGCCGCCGCGAGACTGCTCGCTAGGGCTCGTAATTCTACCATCGCTGGTTTTTCTTGCGCCGTTTTTTCTGTGAAGGCAACTCGAATAGTGAACTTTCCAGCCCAGGAGCTCTCGCTTTTACCTCACAAATTTCGAACTCATGCCCGGAAACGATTTCTGTCTGATCCCTACATGCCTCTTTTCAACTGTCGGTCTTTGCCTAAAACTACTAGCTACGTCTCGCCCTCCATGGCTCCATACTTGTTAATAAGTAACGAGCATCGAGCTATAGGGATTGTGAGAACGGGGTTCCGGAATTGTATTATGATGGACTGCAGTGAGACGAAAATGTCTCTCTTCAAATCAAGTTCTGAACTAACTGATGAACTCTTCACACTTGATAGCGTAACTGGATGCTGTCCCGAAATTCGCTTAACTCATTGAGGAGCTGTACCGAGCCGCTCAGCCTATCCCTTCAGCACGCGCTGATCCGGCCTGGTCTAGGTGGTCTCGATTTAGCCGGACGGGGCCTGAATATCATTATGAGCCCGGACGTTGTATTTGTGTTGTGCAGCGAGACAGTACCCGATGGCGGTGGCAGACATGAGACACGTTTTACCAGCAAGATAAAAATACGAAGCAATTTAGGATTTGGATTTCCGACTTTCAGGCACTGAGGCCAACAGAAAAATAGCCGCCCGCCGGAATTTTTTGCCTGAAGACCGCTTCACATACGGTAAAGCCCTATCTGCTTACGTGCTCATCGCGTTTACGTTCCGTATATGAAGCGGTTTTTAGGCAAAAAAATCCGGCAGGCGGTTATTTTTCTGTTGGTAAAACTGGCCTCTGAGCTCTTTTCTAATGACTCCCAGAACATGTGAAATATCCGAAGGCGTAAAAAATCCTCATATTTACTTTGTTAGCCATTATTATGCATTTTTGTTCAGCTGGCTTACGAGTGGCATATGCTCGCTGTCACATACATGGTCGCATTTTACTTGAAGGTGATGTTTACGAAGTTCCCGAACTTTATTCTCTCTTCAGAGGAGTGCGAAATGTCGCATCTTTTCAGAATATTTCAGACTGGCGGTGACGGACGAGTGTGCCGTCATAAATTAGTTCAAGCGTTTCGAAAAGAAATTACCGACGCTTTGCATATAGTAAATGCTGATATTTCCTTCAGTTCGGATTTATTGACGCTTAGCTCACGGCCTGAACCGGGCGTGGCGGAGTGATTTGCCGAAGTTCCCAGTGATCCGCCAGTTTATTGGACGCTCGATAAGCGGCGCTGTCGTCACCTCGGCTACCGGCGCCGCATTCGTCTGGAGCCGGCGTCGGCGGTCCGCATGAAATCAGCCCTTTAGCAGCGCAGCAAGGCCATTAGGGGTCCGGTCGATTTCTGAATCTGCATACGCTCATGTAACCTTATAATCAAAATAAATTTGAAGAAATTATTGGTTTGAATGACCTGCATTAAAATAAGTTGTACGTTTTCTTAAGCTGAGTAGGTATTGTGGAAAGCTAATTTGCGTCCGGATTCTTTGGTCCCTCAGTCCAGTCCGCAGTTTCCTGGTCCAAGCCGCAGCCCGGCTCCGGTCCCTGAGCCCAGCCCGCCTTCTTCGTGCCAGGTTACGACATTGAGCGCCGCCCCGCCCTCCAATGTCCTCTCGACGCCAGCGTCGCGTTTGGCGTTTGATGCGCGCTGGTTGACGATCGTGGGCGTACTCTGGCGCACTCACCAGGATTAGGTGGAGCCCTCCTTTTCCCCACGGACTGTTTGTGTGGCCGAAGTGAATCGGTTTGATCTCCCGTTGACCCTTGATGACAGAACAAAACGCTCTCAGCTCTTGGGCTGGAAATTGGGGCTTGGTCGTCAATGAGCGCTGGTTTTGGCGTGAAGTATCTTTTCTGTTTGTGTTTTGTTTTTTTAATGGCAAAACATGATAATAATGTTTTTTAACGTTCCAACATCACCCACGCTCTGTCCGCTCACTTTGCCGTCTTCTGTGTCGTGTTACAGCCGTCACAGTCTCGGAGGGCTCCAGCGGTGACAGCGCCAGCAGCGGCGGCGGTGCGGCGCGCTCGCCGGACGCCGACCGCGCCCAGTGCCTGCTCCGCGAGGGTCTGCGGGTGGACGAGCTGGACCGGGCGCTGTGGCGGGCCGACTTCTGCCAGGAGCCGCCCGAGTGTCCGGCGTCACCGCACCGCCGCTGGGCCGGCAGCAGTGAGGAGTCGCGCTCCGTCGGCACCCAGACGGGTCTGCTGGCCGCGCGCGCCGCCGGACCGGACACGTTCCGCTGCGAGACGGTGCGACGCGAGGTGAGTAGGGGGCGAGCCGAGGAGTGATCGGTACCTGCTGCTCAGTATTAGGACGAGTGGAGGATGGTCTAAATGCTTGGAGGGAATGGGTAAAGCGCTCAGCAGTGCTGAACAGGAGGGTTTTAGCCCGGAAGCAGCAGAGCAACGACAATCTGGGGAGAGCTATCGTAGAGGGGCGACGAGACTGAAGCCGTAGGAGGGGATGGGTGGGGAAAACAGGACATTGGCCGAGTTTATGATGTTTACCAACTCAGGCAGAGAGCCAGGCCAATTTTGCACAACTCATTGCAGCCATTTAAATTTAAATTTTGATAGAATCCTGAGCCGGCCCTTGGGAGAACGGAGGCCAGCCGTGAGATAACTTCAAGTTTATTGTCGAGCTTAATAACTTTGCGTGAATAATGAAGTAGGTTTGTTAGCATATGACCGCTACTCCGGGAGGCCGGCGGCGGCTCTGTGTGCTGGCCAACCGAAATAGACTGCACTGCCGGCGCGGAAATTATAATTGGCGTCTCATCAGCGTCGGTCTGGTAAGTTCCGCGCTCCCGGGACGTGTCCCCGGTGCCCCGCCGGTCGGTCCCTGGCTACCAGAGCTGACACCTCTCCCCTGTCTCGACAGGTGCACTCGGAGGACTCGGAGATCATCCACCACCCGCCGCGGCCGCCGACCGCGCGCCGCTCGGTGGCCTATTTCCTGTCTGTGCGCCGCGGCCCGCTGCGTCTGCCGCCGGCCGAGGAGCCGGGCTGCCGGCGGGTGCTGCCGGCAGTGCGGCTCAGCCAGGAGCTGCTCCGCCAGCAGGGGCTGGCCGGCAGCGGCACCGACTCGGCCACCGGCACAGAGTGTGTCCGAGAGGAGGACGCCATGTGCTCGGAGGACGGCCGGCGCGTGTCGGTTACCCAGCGGCGGCCGGCCGGCCCCGTCAGCGCCGCCGAGTGTCTCACCCTGCAGGTCAGTGACGCAGCGGCCCCACCCCGACACGGCCTGCCACAGGCCGCCCGGTCTGATTCGACATGGTCAGGCGCGGCCGTGACCGTCTTGGCTCTGCCCGGGGTGCACCGGGTGGCTCCCAGCTCTCGCACTCGCCACGACTCACTCCGTCCCGGTCCAGCCCAGCCCCTTTTTGCCCCGGCCCGGAGTGCACCGACAGGCACCCAGCTCCCCGCCCGAACCAGACCCTGCTTAAAGTATGACCCTTCTGCCTCCGTGCTTCATTGAATCGGGTGTCTTGCTTGCCGAGTGTGCTGCCCAAACTTTACCGTAGCTCGTCGACATTAAACTAAGCCACTCAAGCGAATGGCTCGATATACTATATGTGATTCCATTCAATATCCAGTCTTGTCGTATGCATCGGTGAACTGTTTAGGGAAACTTCCCGTGAAATGCTGGTGTGAATTCATTATTCACCCAATGATGAATTCATTTGCTTCTGATTGACCGATGCGCTGTACTCGCGACAAATGATCAAGGCGCGCACCATGCAGCGTTAAATCGCCCACGAAGCTAACATCGTTGCCATACAGCCCTCCCATCTGGCCTCGCTACCACCGGTGTCGGACTCCGCTGCCGTCGGCCGCTCTCGCCCTGCCAAAGTCAGTTGCGGGCTCCCATTGTACCGCTGCCCTCAGTCCCTTACCCGCTCCGCGTCTGACGGCATACCCACCGCGTCAGTCCCATCAGCCCCCGGGCGATCGTCAGGCGGCGCACGGATCAACGCCGTCATTTCATCGGAATGGTATTGCCACAATAACTTCTTCAAAGGCGCCTGACGACCAGGGATCTATCTGGCTGGCCCGACGCCTTTCAGAAATATCCGCCGCAACCGGTGCCGCCGGCTGTTTTTCTTCTCGGGGGAAGGCTGGCACGGCGATAGATTTGCGGCTCGCGTCGGTCACACACTGGGCACGGACTGACTCAGGGCGCTCCGCCAGGTCCGGCCGACTCAGATTAGTGGATTACCGCGGGCTGTCGTTCAGACTTCAAGAATGTAGGAAGGCTCCTTCTTCCCTTCACAAAAACTCTGACTTTGGCAACGGAAGCTGATTTGACAACCGGGAAGTGGAAGTGAGTGGAATAGGCAATCAGCAGCACACAGATTCGGATGTAGAGGAAGCAGAGCCCCAGTTGTCGGCTAATGGGCAAAGCCCGATCCGCTGTGATGTTCAAGTACCGTTCGCTGTTGCTGGTTCGTGCTGCGTTGTCTTACATGAGCATCAGCGATCGCAAAGCAACCAGCTGTGTTATTTGAGCTACCGGGACGTGTGAGTGCATACTCCCCTCTCCCCACCCCCTCTTCTGGCTCCCAGCGGCGGGGACCAGGGGACCGTCCCAGCCGGATGGCGGCGGAACAGCCATTCTGCGATCGTATCGGCGCTGTCTCCGTGAATTGAGATGGATGGTCGCAGCCGGGGCCGGTCCCCGGGAGGCACTGGTCGGCTCTCGGGGGACGGACGTCTGCCGTCCCGTCACAGTGTCCCCCTCCTCGGCCCGTCGTCTGCCGGAGGTTTGGACTCTTCGTGTCCTCGTGTTTCGACGTGGAGCGTTGGTTTGCAGCGCTGGACAGCCGCGCTCGACCACACTGGATGGCCGGCCACCACCTGTCGTCCCTGGAATTGTGCTGGGCACGACGGCACGCCATATAGGCACTGCGGTGTCATCAGACAGCCAATTGGTCGACGTTGTTAGCTGGGTTCTCCTGAGTGCGCTTCGGGTCTGAATTCTACTTTGAAGACCTCAACGCTGTACAGACTTTCAATATCTACGATATTTATGAGTATTGCGTATACATCAGTCGTGAATCGTAATGCATGGCTTAGTGCTAAGCAATTTTTTTCTAACCCCATTGTCTGAGGATTTATTACCGGTAGTTGGATTCGGCGGCTGGTCGTATTGCTGGTCGTATTGTTATATCAGCATTGTCTTTCACTGAATTATGAGGTTGTTATGCATCATTTAGCCATTAGGCTGGCGCCTACACACCGCGGCAACCCATTCATTTATCGTATTGTTGTTGTTTGTTGGCGGTCGTTCAGTTGGCGTCGGTCGCGGCCGCCGTGCCGACCTCGCCGTCTGCTGGGTAGGTCAAGGCCAGGGCGACCGCTCTTACCCGCCCATCGCCGGTACGGCAGTGTGTGGAACCAACCACCGCTCATCGAGTCTGGGCCATTAGCAGGCGTCTGAGCGACCACTTGGCTGGGTGTAAAAAAGTAACACTATGTCATCATGATTCATGAGTGTCTATCAGCCATCCCGCCGGGTCCCAAATATAGCAAGTGTCACATTGGTCACCCCGCCGGACCAACCACCACATTCCCATATTCGGTGTCCCAGCGGCTACTCCGCTGTGCCGTGTGTCACCGGTCAGCAGTAACCGGTGGACCCACTGCTGTCGCACGGCACACAGCCTTGGGACCGGCGCCGCCTGTAACCCAGTCGACCGCCACATGACTGCATTAGGACGACCGTAGTGGGACTCCGACGGCGACACTCAATCCGGAGAGTGCCCGGCCGTCTGTCCGTCCTGATGGTCGGGAGTGACGGCGGACCCGATGGTGGATGGTCGGCCGACAGCTCCGCCCTCTGACCCGAGCCTTGTCGCGTGGGGCTCCGTGGATTACAGAAAACCCGACCCCTACCGCCTGGTTTTCAGTGGTCTCGCCTCAGCCAAGTGCTACTTCGTGGTTAAATGGTTAGGCGTATTAAACGACTAAGTGAAGTGAACCAAGAGCAGTTTCAGTCCAGCTCAAACGACATGAACTCCCTCATTACATTTCCCCTACGGCACACTACACTCAATATCGCCGCTTGGGCTCGCCTGTGTAAGATGCATGACCGGCCACTAGAGCTACGACTAAGTTAACTTCCTTAGTAATCAGCCCGACGCTGCTGATTAATTATGCAGAAGTCCATGCCATAAGCTGTCGATTCCGCGAATGGCTCGTCTGGCGACCACGGCCTGTCTGGCCCGGATACCGCAGATGAGTTGATCGGTTATGGCCTGTCGGCGTTTTGGTCAGAGCCCGGAACATGTTCGGAGTTATTGAGACCCGCGGATATCGCCGCATCCGGAATCTGACCACGGGCCACAGTCTGGGGTCTGTGAACGCTGGAAAGTGATGTTAGCGTTAGGAGAGGATATTTAGCCCCCCACGGTCCACGGCTCTTTTGTCCTTTTATGTAATATCCTAATGAGCCACTGAACCAGCCAACTCCTTAGAATAGACCTGAATATTTTGTCCAGTTATAACAAGGCACAATATTTTGTCATATAGGAAGAGCCAGCTGGAACAGCCTTTGCTGGCTGAGGCAATCTTATTTAAAGATAAATTACTTTCAATTTCCTTCCTTATTTAACTCAGCCCTTGAAGCATTTAGCTAGTGGTGTGGGCGAGTATGCCATTAGGGTGATTTTATTCAATACACCAAATGGATCCGCGGTCGGGCGATTCGGCGGGACGCGCCGCGCCGGCCGGCCACTCGGTCGGCTCAGCCTGCACTCTAGGCGAGCGCGATACGTGACCAGACTCGAACTGAGAACCGGCAGCGGCACAATGCCGAGAAACACGCCGCTACACTGAATCGACGCCGAAATATCCACCGTTCGCCGGAGCGCCGCCGGACAGCACGTGTGTGTGCGTGTGTTTGTGCCAGCGGTGGACTCCCCCGCAGCGCTGTGCCGGTCGGCCGGATAGGCCGCGCCGCGTCCCGGTGCCGCAGACAATCTGGGCAGATTGCCGCCGCCGGCCGGCCCCGCCGCCGCTCCTGTCGTAATGGTTATTGAGTTGGCACGCTCCGGACACCGGCGGGACGCTGGCGGCACAGGTCCGCACCGCCAGGACCGACGCCGCCCGGGTCCAACCGGGCGCCGGGCGACTGTTGCTCGGGTGGCTGATTGTGTTGGTGTGTTTGACTAAAGATGTGTGGACCAGAATCCAACCTCTAGGGTCATCGTAATGCCGTCGCGTCACTTCGTCACTTGACCGGCAATCACGTTATGTACGGTGGAGTGTCTGGTGTGAGTTTGGGACCGGTAGTACAGCACGTGTTGTAGTCCTGTTGAGCTGCAACCCAGTGTCCATCTGAACACAGACGGTGCACAGGCGGCGTGCTGCAGAACGACTGGTCGGCCACCTGCGGATGTAATGGTGCCTTGTCGGGCTGTTTGTTTAGTCACTGGTAGAGACCTTTATTGAAATTCAAGGCTGCTTCCCAGTTCCCCTTGTTGCTTAGCGGGAAGCTACTCTTTCAAAAAGCTGCGACGATCGGAGGCCAAACAAAAAGCGTTGTTAGCGTCTCCCCGATTTTTTTCTGATTTCATCAATTTCAGTAACTGGCACGAAATCGTAATAATAAACTAGGGCTTCTTTTCCCCGGCCGTCCTTTTCGCTGTTCTCCGCTAATCTCAGTCTTGTGCGTCCGAGCCGTTCGCGCTGGTGGCCGGTCGCCTGAGCCGGGCCCATCGGTCGCCGGCCGGGTCTCCCTGTGCGGACCACTGTGCCGCCCCGAGAAACCGTTCATCACCGCCGGCCACAGCCGCGGCCAGTCGCTGTTTTTACCGTCCTGAACGACTCTGCTCGGGCTGGAGGACTGACAGGGATGGCCCCGTCCGGCCGCTGGTTGATGATGCACGGACAGGGAGCCGACGTCCGGCCGCGGACCTTAGCTCTATGTCGGACGCTATAGAGGAAGGCCAGAAATGGATTTATTGATAACCCTTACGAGAGTTGTAGATGAAGCCATTCAGTGAAAGCGCTTTCGATGCAGCTTCTGGTCATAGCGAGCTTTCGTTTGGAATTCCTATCAGATGTTGCAATACCGGACCAGTGCACTTTATTCACCGGTGTTTGAATGTTTACAAGGTAGCAGTACCGTTATTTGAGAGCCGCAACATATAAATATTGAAATTGAAGATTTTGAACGTAATGTGCATTAAAGTTTTGTGCAACGTGCATGGGGTTCTTTGCAAAGGGCTCATACTGGTGCTAATTTCTGAATGTTGGCGGCGACCAAGCAAAGGGACTGCTTTAAATCTACCGGATAATGTGTCTAATTTATCACCATTCACCAGAAATGCGACAAAATTGTTTCGACTTTAAAACTGTGCTGTTAGATGCCGTGCCATTCTAACTCGATTAAAGGGACTATCCCACCTTTAACATGGGGTTTGAGTTGAGATAGCCAAGTTTGCGGCGAGGTTCAGAAACCACTATCTATCTAGGTTGCAACCCCCGCGGCCTCTTGGTGTTGAAGACATTCGTTCCCTTCATTTGAAAATGGGCCTTGTACAAGGCCCTATCTTCAACATGGAGCGACCGTTAGTGTGACGTCACCTCGTTTAGTCATTCTGATTTAAATGGGTTTGTTCGTTGAAAAATCGCTTAAAACTTGGTCTGAACTTTGTTGTGGTGCCTACAGAGTAAAAAGAATCAGCTTTATGACAGTAATGTGGCCTGGGGAAGGAGGTAATTTTGGGCTGTGACTTCACATATTTGAAAGTTTGTGTTTGGAATATGGGAAGCCTAAGATGTTAAATGAAAAACAAATGTCAGAACCGTGTTCCTGGTCATCCAATCTATAAAGTCGGGCACAATTTAACTGGTTTTAACAACATTTTAGAAGGTGGGATAGTCCCTTCAATTGTGGGCTCCGTCCTGCTGGGTGTCATTACTCAGCTCAGGTGAGGTCGCGCCCGCCGCCGGAAGGTCAACCAAACATCTATCTTTGCAGCATAAAACGATGCATCGTGCTCTAGTTATGATCAAACTTGGCGCAATGGACGGATGTTCTTATTATAAAAGAATTATAAGAAGCCTTTCCACTTTTTATTGTATCCGTCGCCATGTGACGTTGAGCTTTTCGTTACCAAGCGAGCCCACACACACACAGTAACCCGATCTGGCGTTATTGAGTTTGCATTAAGTTTATTTCAACAGCGTTTTCCTTTTTATCTTAATGCTGTGTCCCATTCCTCCATCCCATTTGCAGATTTAATCCTCTCGGTAGTCTATTTTCGTCCGAATCCTTCTCGTCGTATCAATGGGATCGTTCCAATAACACCTTCGACGTTTTCCCGAATGACGTAGGCAAAGGCTCGCCGTGGCTGTCACCGGGCGGTAGTCGGATTTGCTGAATGGCGCTTCCCTCTTCTTTTTTCCGGAGAGCAATAGAAGAGTACTACTCTGATAACCCCCGTAGAGACCTCAACTGCTCACTGCTCAGGCGCCCGGCCGAAGTTCCCTGCCGTGTAGGCTGCGCCGCATGACACGCGTGTACGGCGGTGCAGTCTATCACATGCGCTGGCGGTCGACCAGCCAGCCACAGCCAGTCCCTCCTCAGTTTTAGCTGACTAACCTGGCGTGGCGTCGCTTATTACGATATCACTCGAATTGTGCTGCTGGTTGCCATGCGTTCCCTCCAAGTGCATACAGTTACCGAGTGTTTGAATATACAGGGATATAATCAATAATCATCGCATGTGACTGTGATCCATTTTGATAGCTATTGTTGATGTCAGCTAACGTCACCAGTCCTTTAGCAGCTTTGGATAGCGTTTCGCTGTTCGATCATATCGCGAATAAAATCATTTAGCAACAGCAACATTTCCCTGGATTGTCCACAGTATAGTGACCTTTGTTTATGACGTGATCCTTTCGGTCCCACCCCACGGCCTCGCGAATGATCCTAAAAACTCGTAATTTTGTTTTGGCGGTTCCTAAACTAATAACTCTCGGAAAAGATTCAATTTCCCTATTTTGCCAGAGAATAGTGGGCTGACGAGAATGGGGTTGTGTCGATAGGTCTGTTCCGATAACAGGATACCTCAGCCGAGGTTTCCATATCTCGGACTGAACTGTCTGCGAGCGGCAGCCTGAAGACTCCGACGTCCATTCTGCTGATAACTTCGGCCGAAGTGGCGGCGTATTGGGTGACTTCGGGGAGATCACCTTGTTTGTGTGCTGGCTTCACCCGTGCGCCTGTGGACGTGCGGACTAAAAAGCGGGTCACCCGCACTTCTCTGACTCTTTCCCCTCTCTCCCATCTTCTCCCATACTCTCTCGGACCTGTCGCGGTCTCCCGTCTCCGCCGACCGCTGATTGTCGTCGGCCTGTCGTGTTGCCCTGTCCTTCCCGTCCACCGAACACCGCCTCCGTCCTCAGCCTGCCGCCGACAGCGCCGCTTCTGCCGCCACTAATGAGCCGCTCCGGCGGCGAGCGGTGACGCTCTGTGGCGTTTGTTGCGCGCGGTGACGAACGGTGGCGCCTCTGGGGACGACCCCCCCCCCCCCCCCCGCCGGAGACCAGTCGGTGGGGTCTCAACCCTAGAACAGCGGCTGTTGGGCGGGTCAAGTGGTCCGTGCACTGCCCGGAGTGGACTGGACGCCGCACTAGCCGTGATTTGTTTGGCCGTTGTCCGTGATGTCTGACCAAGGGAGGGTTGTGTGACCTTTCGCCGACGGCCGGCCGCCACTGGGGGGAACGGTATTGGGCTGGTCTGTGTGCATGTCTGCCAGTCGGTCAATGACCCGTGACCCCAAACGCCTGGGAGTTCAATCTTGTTGATGTGTCGACGCGACCAGTGTGCCCTTTGGAGCTCCGCCACACCGTCCGTCTGTCTGTCCTTGTGGTTTGTCTCAGCGTGCTGTTTTACCGTTTGTTGTTTTGACGTTTGCTGTGTCTCCGTGCTGTCCGCCCTTGTTGGTTTTCTCTGAGCGTGTGTTGTTCCATCGTGCCCTGACGGCTGCTGTGTGTCTGTCCGCAGGAGGCGCTGTGTCGCCGCCGTCCCGACTACATCAGAAACGCCTCCGTGCGGCGCCAGTACCTGCAGCGACTGGCTGAGCTGCGCCGGTGCAACCTGGAGCGGGCGGCGCGCGCGGCACAGACACTGCCCGAGGTGCCCACAGATGCCGACTGGTGCCACTTCGCCGACGCCCTCCGACCAGAGAGTGAGTCCTAATTGGGCGACAGGAACACGCTCGGCCGTACACCGGCGCTAATGACCAATCGATGGCCGCCGATCACCGCTCACTCACAGACAAACACACGGACACAGACGACAGGATGTCTGATGAACACTCACCCACTGACAGACAGACGGGCAGAGAGACTGACAGTCCTCCGGCGCTGCGGCGACTGTTACTGGCCTGAAGGACGCACAGAATGGATTCACTGCATTAGTCAGTGCTATCCATTTTCGCTATCGGAGGACGACCAACTTTGGGACAGAAAACGATCTTCAATTCAAGCAATCACTGTCGAATTCCACAAACTATCGAGCAGACCGCTTCTGATAGTGTGTGTGGGCAAAGTTTCCTCATGGAAAATTGATAGGAGAATAGAGGAAGTCGGTAGTAGTAATTTAGGGAGTATCTTTTGTTCCGATCGCCCACTAGTTTGAGAAACCGTGGCATCTGTGTTCGTAATACACGGGATGCAGCTATGCTACGAGGCCCAATCAGCCAGCTTCTTCGTTCTAAATTGTTTTCTTTCGGCTTATTGCTGCAATGGGCCTCAATAAGTAATACTACCGTCATGTTAGTCGTCGCTTTTATTACACAGGTTATAAAAGAAAACGTGGAATTTTTTGCCGGTTCCATTGTAGAAACCCACCAATGAAACCCACCAAATGCACCCACCAATGCCAGACGTCGTTTTGTGGACTTGAGGAGTCAGGCTTTACAACTGTCGATGTATTTCCGTTTGCACTTCGCGCTGAAAATTATTCTAAAATTAAGATGTTCCACATTGATAATTACATTTTTATCGGCTGTGCCCCAGGGCCCAATGGGCTGAACAGGTCCCCAGTTCAGCCCTTCCCCGTCTGTTCACTGCCATTTTATCGGGTGCCGCCCCGGCTGACGCAATGGCCTCCCACGCTGGCTCGGTAGGTAAGACCCCCGGCTACTTCAGTGGCAATTAATCACCGCTAGACTGCCTTAGTGGTCGACGCTGCGATTTAGCTTACTGTTGCTGACACTTGCTCTCCGTAAGACCATCTGTCACATCTTGTAGGATCCCTGTAAGTTCTTCATTCCATCCGCCGCACCCCGGTCCGTAAAATTGTCTGTCTGTTCCGTGTGACTGTCAGTCAGTACACCGTCCCTGACGGGTCTGCACGGCCGTCCGTTTGTCCGCCCGTCAGCCCGTGTGGCTATCCGCTACTCTGTCCGTCCCCTGTAGGGGGTCTGCTGGGCTGTTCGTCCGTCCAGCCGTCCGGCCGCCGTCCCTTGTCGCGCTGTTATGGGGCCGGACCCGGAGACGGTTCCCGCGACGGTCATTCGACCTTCCATGGCACTGCCCGGCCGGTGGCCGCCTATTTGGGGCCTGCTGCTCGCGGCGGCCGGCGGTAGTGCACCTACGGGACGGGGCGCGGCCACACCTGACGGCATTCCGACCCCGCGACCGTTCGGGTCACCGCCGACCGCTGCCACCGTCTCCGTCCAGCGCCGCGCCCCGACCATTGCGTCTAATTGGATGTGTCTAATTGGCCGTGCCATGGGCGCAGCGGCCGCTGGGCTCGGAGTCCCTCCATTATCGCCGGGACCGCGTGTGTCGTGGACAGGTGTCGCAGGAGGGAGGGTGGGACACAGGATGGGCGACGCACACGCACCCGCCGCCGCGGCCCAACCCTGGGCCGATCGACCGACCGGTCCGACCCGCCCGACCGACCGGGACCGAGCCGGTGTCTCCGAGGCACGCGCGTCGGACCGGCGCGCCGCTCCCGCTCACGTGTGTCGCGCTGATGGACTCATTTTATGCCGAGAGTGCGCCGCTGGCTGGCAAAAACAGCGCCCGCCAAGAAACTCCTCAACGGGAGAGCTGGGTGCTCCGGCGGCGGCCCGCCGACCCGCCCCGAGTCGGCTCCCACTCAGGTCGCGGAGATTCCGGGGCTTCCAGTGCGACTGATCTACAATATTGGAACTTGACTGGCTGACAGGGGTGCTGTTTTTGTGCAAAATCCTCAAATCCCCTAGCAAAGATTGCCTTTAGAGAATTTATTTGAATTCGAAAATAGGGCTTTGTTTTTGTGATGGAAGTTGAAGCAGTCAGATCCGTCGTGATGCGTATCACTTTATCTCAAGATGTCGGTCCCAATGCTCAGCTTTCTTTTTCATTCTCAAGTGTAATACAGCACGCGTGAAAAAGGAGGCCTCTTCGGCTTCTATGCCCTTTTATGGTATGATTCATACACACTACAAATAAGACACAACCAAGCGAACACTCTTCCTAATGAACTCATTGGCTAAATTGGTTTCCAGCCAACGTCTCTGACTCGACCTGTGCTTTAACATTTGGTTCTCCCTGGCTTCATCCAGTTTCATTGCTTATCTTGACGGACAATCTTGGTGCGTGGCTGTCAGCCGTTCTATATTTCCTCTGGGCTCTGAGCCATTTAGTAAATGAGCCCTCTCTTAAATGATATGTCGCTTTTGACATCATCTTTATTGCTCGAGTCAAACGATAGTGGCTCTGTGGAAACTGCAGGCACTCATAACACCGGAATAATCTCGAATAAATTCGTAAATGCACTCTAGCGAAATAATCATTCAATGATCAGACTTTAAAATGTTAACAAGATGTTATGCAGATAGGTAATTGATCATGTACTTTGTCCTGAACCACTGACATCTAGCCACCCTCAATTGTCAATTGCAGTGACCGTCGGTACGGCCCGATAAAGGCTTTAATTATAGCCTCTCAACCTCAGTGATCGCTGGTCAGTGCAAGTGACTAGTCTTCTAATCTACCCTAACGTCTCCCCTCGCTCAGTGAAAAGTAGTTCGTGGTGTCGATTGAGCTGTCTCAGCGACTGTTGTCAGGCTGGATGGCGGTTTGGACGTTTCACCTCTAATGATGGTTCGGTATCGGCGCCAACGTTTCTCTCCACACTGTCTGGATGCTACGCTTATCCCCTGATGTGACATCCATCATCTCCATGGGCGTTCCCTTTAGTGCGAGCATGGCGAGCCGTTAGATCGACCAGCTTGTTGAGAAACGAGCACGCAGCCCGTCTATTGACGGTCTGGTAAACGGTAAATCACTGGTGATTGATTGACTGGTGGGCTGCATGAATGGTTCGATGAGAAATGGATCGCATTTCACGGCCAGAGTGCGCACTCGTTCGGAAACCTTCGTCGGAACGTTGAGGACGGCACAGATTTGGTATGTTTTTATTCAAAGTGGGTAACGATAAATTTTGTTTTTGCCATGTTTAGAAAAAGCTTAATCGTTCGGAGCGATTCCAACGCGGTGATGTTTCCAATGGATGCTCTCGATTTCATATAATATCGACGATTGTTCAGCTCTCACATTCCTTGGTTTTACAGTTTCTGCAGTAGGTTTGTCTAAGCTTTGCTTTGCGATGTTGTGTTCTTCATTCATCACAAACTACCAGAAAGGAACCTCTGTGTGTTTAAAACATGATCTCAGTACCATTTGGAGCTCTCCTCACGGAGAGCCTCGTGCTAGCCCGAAACATTATCCGTCCATCACCAGTTGACGCAGCCGCTCTCGAAATCCCCTGAGTCACAAAAGCAGGCGTCACTGCGTGCGCTATCGATACGAGCCGCATGTGTCTGAGGGTCATGTAGTACTATCGATGATGTCACGCTGCCTGGCGAGCGCCGCCGGCTGTTGATGGTAATGACTCTCTGGGGGGTTGGGTCAAGCACCGTCGACAGGAACACACGCATGCTATCCGTGCTGATATGTCGTAGATGTTCTGTCATACGAATTATGACGCAGTGGTTGTCGATAATCGCCGTAGGTAATGGGACGGGTGTCACGAGACAGCAACATTCATGAATTATCGTTAACGGTGCTCTGGTATGAGTAGAATATCGCTGCTACCTTGGTTTGTTGGTTGCTCCGGATTGCCTTCGTTTTATCTGTTCTTTGCTTTTTAAGTCGTTGTGCATGCAATTATAAATTGCAGCTTCCTAATTGTTATAGCGACCTTATTGACTTTTGACCCAATTGTGTCTTAAAGGGACCCTCCCACCTTAACATTAGTTTTGAGTTGAGATAGCCAAGTTTGCGGCCAGGCTCAGAAACCACCATTTATCCTGGTCGCAACCCCCGCAGCTTTATGGTGTTCAAGAAATTTCTTCCCTTTACTTGCAGGGTGGGACCAGCGTGGTCCCTATCTCTTAACCATTACGGGAGTCTGATGACGTCATCAGGCTTTCGAACGTCCGTTAAATGTTTGACTAAAACGTTTTGTAGCACGCGGTGGTATATGCTGCTTTGCGCGCAACAAATGCCGCACTTTCAAATAAAGTCGCTAGGAACAGCGGAGATCCCAAAAAGTAAACAAAAGTAAAAGTCTAATATCTTGAAAACCGGTGAATATTTTTCGATGAAATTTGGTAGATATTCGTTTTTGCTCTTTCTGAACCGAGCGACATCACTTTCATGCCAATTCATTAACTTTTTTGAAGGTGGGAGGGTCCCTTTAATACGCATGCCGAAAGCTTTCCCCATTTGTAAAATATCATCAAAAATGAATTGTCTTATGATGCTCTATGGCGCACTAAACGGACATCCAGCAGGAATAAAATCTCCTCGTCACCAAATGACAGTTTAGTTTTCATCAGCCAGTGATTTGACTGTTTTGATTGGGCTGCGGCTGCGCTCTGCGCTGCTCCATTTTCCTCGTCTCTCACCGCGCGCCCATCTCCAGCCTAAACTGATTTCGTTGTGTGTGTGTGTGCTCAGTTTTGTTTCGTCTTCGCCGCTTGGGGCTCCCACTCGGAGATTGGCAAATTTCCGGGCCAAATGCCGCTATTCGGAGGCGTTCTGGCGTCTCCGTTAGGCGCCTCTCTGATGAATGGGCCGCCTCGCCGCGGATACTCTATGATTAATGCCGGCGCTCGGCTCCGCAGTCCCGTGGAGCCGACCCGCGCGGGGGGCCCAGTTGAGAACGGGGCCGATTATATGGCCCATT